ACACCCCTTCTCTCAAGCATTAAGAAATTATAACATCGTCAAGGTCATAGATCATCCTTACTAATATTATAAATCGGAAAGTGAGTTTGTTTGTTTGTATGTTCCGCTTTCACGCCGTAACTACTAAATCGATTGCTTTGAATTTTTGCAGACGTAAAGTTAGAAGTCCGGATTAAATAATAGGGTACTTTTTATCCCAGAAAAAAATTGATATTCCCAAGGGAAAACAAACACCGACTTCTTACCTTTCAGTGGGTGGGTAACCTATCAGTGCCAATAATAGTTATTTTTTGCTTTTTAGTTTTGATTTTTTGTATGTTATTAGTTTTTGTTTTTTTAAAAATATAACTTGAATGGGAGTGTCCCTTCAAATTAAACTATATATGACCCACAAATTGTAAATAATAGTTTTAGCATCGAATAAATCAAGAGTTTTAGTGAAACAGATAATTTTGTTTAACAGCAATACATGGCTAGATAACATTGGCGGCACTTCAATAACCAATGAGTATTGTTAGATTACAATCTACAAGGTGTATGTGTGTAATACATGTACGTATAATATGTACACACATAATATTAAGTAATAGAGTAGATGACTAATTTTTATTTTTTATGTCCGTCTGGTAGATTACTTAAAGATATTTTTTTAAAGAAACGAATACTTTCGACGATATATTGATTTGAAATGTCGCGTGACGTCACTTCTATGTAAATTTTATACGTAGAAATGACGTTTTAGCCCCCACTTCTAAACTTTGATTCGTTTTATCTAAGTATCATTTTATTATACATCAAAATAAAAAATAAGTGTCAAATATTTTTTCATTACCTAACTGACGGACTAATTAGTTTTTTAATTTTCATACCCTGTCATCATCCCATCATCATACACATATTATTAGACGAAGACGTGTTTATTCATCAGATTTGTTTATGATGACTGCCTTGTTGACCGAGTGGTCGCTAGTGCGACTGCCAGACAAGGGATCACGGGTTCGATTCCCGAGTCGGGCAAAATATTACTGTGATTTAAAAAAAAACTCAGTTATAGCTCGGAGTCTGGAATTGTGCCTGGTATATAGCAATAGGCTCACCTCCTGTCACATGGAACTCATAACATAAGCAGTGAAAAGTGGGTGTTACACGCAGTGGCATTAAGTGCCGTAATGTGCACCTCTGCCTACCCCTTCGGAGATAAAAGGCGTGATGTTATGGAATAAAGGAAACAAAAATGAAACTCTCAAAGTGATGCTAATATCACCGTCCATAGACACCCTAAGAGTAACAAGTGTGTAACTTCTTTTTATGGAATAGGAGGTAAACTAGCAGATGGATCACCTGATGGTAATCGATCGGCGCCGCCCGTGGACACCCACAACACCAGAGGAGTCACAGGTAACTGAACTTTTTTATAAGAGTGCGGTCTTTACTCAAAGGTTTGAAACCTATCTGGGTCCTTACTCTTGAAACCAATCACAATGTCAATGCAATTTCAATCCAATAGTCTCAATCATTATTCAATGTCAAAACTATACAACCCCTATCGTAGCTGTTAAAATAGCATTCAGAGTACGGAATATGAAGCCGAACTCAAAACCATTTAGTTAATTCAATATCCACGCAATACGGATGCAATGGGCGCTAGTGTTGCAACTCAAGAGTACGAAATTTTACAATATCAATGTCGTTCGATCGGAATTGGATTCAAGAGTAAGCCCTTCAGAATTGATAGAGAGGATCAACGAACAAGCCATTAATCATTGGTGATTGTGTTTTTCCATTACAAAATCAATAGTAACAATACACGGAACCTTAATATGTAGTTACGCTATTGATTTTACGAGTTACATACGTGCATGACACATACTAACTTACTTTACTACGTTTTTTTAATTGTATTGCACAACTGATACGTATTACATCGAGCGAACTTGAAAAGAATCTAATTTTGTTTTTATAATAACTATCGTGAGACCTACTAAATTAACTAAACATTGAGGGTTACTCACGTGAATATACTGAGATAAGCTCTACTCTACTAGTTTCGAGCCACAGAGGGGTTCTTCCTCATGAGCAGCGTGCGCGGTCGCGGCGATGTCTGACGGCGGCGGCGACAGTAGGCTGCGTGACATCGCCGCGAACCCATAAATACATTTAAATATATCGACGAAGACCTAGACCTAGCGTTGCAGCGATTTTAAATAAAATTCGGAAACTTAATGTTTAAAGAAGATTTTTTTATGGCATAAGCCAGTAAACCAGCAGACGGATCACCTGATGGTAAGCAATCGGCGACGCCCACGGAGACCTGGAACACCAGAGGCGTTACAAGTGCGTCACCGGCTTTTTGAGGATTAGGAGTTTGAGGATCGTTGGGGATTCAGGGATTGGGGAGATTGGGGAAGGGGAGGGTAATTTGGCCTCCGGTAAACTCACTCAAACGACGAAACACAACGCAAGCGTTACTTCACATCGATTTTCATGGCATGGCTCTCCCACACTTGAAAAGAGATTTCTTATATTTAAGAGATTTCATTAATAATCTTATTGCCGTATAATTTGTAACAATTCAAATCTGAATTAGACTGAGCACCAAACCCAAAACTATTTAAGAAAAGGTCAAAAACGAGAAAAGATAAATTAGCAAACGTGTGCTAACTCCAGTAATCCACTGGAATTTGAATGTCTATAGCCCCGTATTGAAATGGCCATTAGAATAGATTTCAGTTAAGGAAGAGACTGAAATTATCCTCTTATAAAGCCTATAATCAAAGCCAATATATATAAAAGGTTTGAAATTTATACGAAGACAAAAAATCATCTCATACCCAGTTTTGTTTTAATAATTTGTCAGTACTTATTAAGTAAGTATTATGTTTTCGGTCGTGGAATGCTGCTCATGAAGATAAGCCTCTAGCATGGCTTAAAACTAGTCGAGTTCTTCGTCAAAACAGTTACGCCGGTAAGCCGAAAACATAAAAATAATTTAGTTTGTGTCACGAGAGTTTTAATTTGTCAGTAGATTTGACTTTGGAAGATTATACTTAGACATAGGCATACTATATGTAGTTATTTATAAATTCATCTCTAGTACGTTCTTCAAGACTGGCCGAAACACGACAACCGACAACGCCGACTATAATCTTAATACGACAGAAAAAAACAAAACAGATTAAATAAAGAATTTTTTTTTCATTTATTTTTTTTAATAAAAAAAAATTTTTTTAATAAAAATTACGTAACTAACGCCCGAATACTGAAAAATTTCTTCACAAAATCACTCAATTTTATTTGTACTTAAATATTGTGCCGTCTCTGTCATTTTACAAAGAATATGTAGAGACAGAACTATACTTAAGCGCGACTTAAAATGGAATAACGTTTCAGTATTCGGGCATAAGAATTGTACAAATCACATATAATGTAGACCAAACCTTCATATACTGAAAAAACCGAATAGGTACAGGATCTACGCAATCTAAACTGGACATTCAACTACTTTCCTTCCTCAATACTGGTAAATAGCACTAAATATACCATTAGATACATGATATTATAGTTTCATAGTAGTCATAATTATTGGCAATACATATATACATAATACAATAACTAAGATGATCCCATAATTAAAATACATATGATTCTTCATTAATGGCTACTCGTAATAAGCAGTTACGTAAAACAATCAGCAAAGTGTCATTGCCAAAAAAATCTAAAGTTACATTATCGTAAAAAAGTCTAAGATACACACACATTACAATATCATTTAAGTATGGGAGAGCTATGCTTCAGCACGAATGGGCCGGCTCGACCGGAGTGATTCCACGGCCTCACAGAAAACCGACGTGAAGCAACGCTTGCGCTGTTTCGTCGTGTGAGTGAGGTTACCGGAGGCCCAATTACCCTCCCCTTCCTCAATCTTGGGGAGATCCCTGAATCCCCAACGATCCTCAAACTCCTAATCCCCAAAAGGCTGGTAACGCACTTGTAACGCTTCTGGTGTTCTAGGTGTCCATGGACGACGCCGCTTGCCGGTGATCCGTCTGCTCCTTTACCGGCTTATGCCACAAAAAAAAATCATGACACGTATATAGTATATTATATAGAATTCATGAAGACATTTTAGTATAATTATAATTGTAATTATGTTCAATCATTCCATGCCGTGATAATTTTTACGCCAAAAAAACTAATTTATTTTTAATTATGAAGCGAAATGTTAAAAAGTTTCCGTTACTGAGAGATAGGACCACATTTCACATACGTTTCACCGGCCAGATATTTATAATTATAACCGTAATTAATTTAGCCCCACGATTCGAGAATCCCCTTCCATTATCACTAGAATTGCGAGTGAGGAAAATAGCTTTCATTATATTAATAAAGCAGATTAATTAAAAATAACATTTATAATTCTATCAAGTATCCTGCCTGTAACCTATTTATAGATTTTAAATAACGTCCGTATCACAAAGTCAATGTTCCGAAACACTTTTTAAATAAACATAGTCCGCCAGCTGATCTTATGTTCTCAGTGCGAACTTCAAGATAGTCATAACGCTAATAAATTCTAATCAGATTCCCCAGAATATGATTTAAGTGGAAAAATATATTCTATTGCCCATACCATAAGAACTAGATGCGATTTTATTATAATTTTACAGTGTTTTGTTTTAAAATAATGCCATACTGCATTCACTGCAGCAGCGGAAACGTTTCTCGTTGTGACGTAAGTTTAATACACATAAACTTGTAATTGAGTACGTATATATACATATACATATAGTTAGAAACATTACATTAAGTTCAACAGTTTATTAAACACCCAAACAACACAAACCCATCATGTAGTCGCCTCACAATAAACTATGACATTGCGATAAAGAACTTACTTGCACGAAATGTGTAATGTTTTCTTGAATAATAACCTAAAAACCAGCTTTCTTTTGATCACAAGGTCGCTTATTAGTCAAACTAATGTAACAAAGTACACGTACCATTTTCACCTCGCTAGTACTCGACTTAGCAGTCGACATCGCCTTTATCATCCTGCTGGAGTTGTCCAACAAACACTTTTGGATACTCATAACTCCTTTTTTTATACAACACAACACAGAAAAAAATATTCACATCATTGGCACAGCACAGCACGTCACTGTTGCACACAATTACAAGTGATCAACAGGCCATCACGACGTCAACACAAATAAATCACATCTTATAATAAATTTGCGAAACGCGCGTGTTAGGTTATATCCATTGATTTGACGTAAGAAACTTTTTGATTTACGGGACGTGGAGTAACCACGTGGTACTTCGCCCGTTGACGGACCGCGACTGCGGACCGGCGTGAACACAGCTGGCGGTGTCGCAGCGCCCCCTGGTACCCGCTAGCGAGCATTCACAACGAGACAAAGACCGAATGCAGCCACACCTATAAAAAACTACACACAAATCATTGAACTTGAACTGATGTTGGAACTGCAAGAGTGCAAACATCGTGACGTCATTATACTTAGGCCTTGTGACGCGGACATCATGTAGATTATGTTTCCGATTGTATTTCCGAGTAAGATAATGACGTTGAAATTGGAGGTCCGTTCAAAGTGAGCATTGAGCCATCAGATGCAACCCTGAGGACTTATTGTGGCACGAAATTAGAATAGTGGAGTTACAATGAAGGTCCCTAAAGTATTATACTGTCTACAGTAATGTTAGCAATAGCCGGAAGAGGGTAAATGTTGGTAATAAAGTGAACTCTCACTGCAGTCCGTAGTTGGTATATTTGCATAATATTATTTCGTATTCGGACTTCCCACGGAGTGAATTGAGCTCTGCAAACACCATTTGAAGTATAAAAACTTATTTCGGACAAAAACATCTTTGAATAAGCGTACAATGAGTTCATAGAGGTATTTATTTAAGCTAATTAAACAACTTTACATGATGGAAAATGATATGGTGCAATACTAAAGCTACTAGAAAATGGAGACCGAAGATAAAAAGCAAAGGAAGATACAAAATACCCACAACAAAAGCTACAGAAATAATAATATCTGTTGAAATTTTAAAATGGTGGCTAACCCAGAATTACTGTAGATACTTACATTAAACTGTCAAACACCAAGCGGTCACCGGTGACCGCGACCTATTGTTCTTTAATTGTGTCTATAAAACCGGTACTCGACGAGTTAAAAACCCTTCTTGAAAATGATAACTGAACAATATATTGTAAAGACTGTTTGCTTTAATAATGTTACTTAATTATACAAAGTATCTTCTCTGAAACATTCCCCCTTTCTTAATAAACGCTTTCTTTTTGCAATTCACCCATAAAAAATCTTTTGAATTTGCAATTGCGATTGGAATGTCTTTGACCGACTGTCGCAATTTGCGATACCTTTAATCAGACTGTTTCTAAGTTTATACTCTAAACTAAGACCAGTATCTCTGATCTTGTCGTGATTATCAACAAATAACATAAGAAAACTTTAAACAATTTGATAAATCGAGCTCAAAATCTAATTCACAACTAGCAAACCAAAAATATCGCAAAATAATTAACTTAGCTAATAATGAGTCTGGACTAAAAATAGCAAAGATTGAACATGAAGTTGTAGCTATAGATCTTATTGACCCTGAAACATGTAGTAATTTAGTGAAAATGCCACACAAATCTACATTAGCTAGTGTATTGGCGTACAATATAGCACTCAACATTGATACACAAATTCAAACAAATAAACTTGCGTTACTTTACGAATGTTGAAGATTTACGGTCAGTGTCTGAATCTGTCTGTGGATTTGGATACTGTGGATAGAGTTTTCACAATAACTGTTCTATAAATTAAAGAATTGCAAATGTTTTTCCTCTACGTAGTACTTTTATCCCAAGTTTTAACTGAAACACCAACTATCCTCAAATGTCTAATCCCTAAAAAAACGGTAACGCACCTCTAGTGCTCTGGGTATTCATTGGCGGCACCAATTGCTTACCACCAGGTGATCCGTCTGCTCGTTTACCGGCTTATCCTAAAAGCAAAGTTAGTTAAGATCACCACAATATGCCTTCTTTTTCTATATCGTGTAATTATTCCCTTGGCTTCCACATCGCTCCTCATACAATCCATCTTTATTACAGTCCTCTTATATAGTTCCCCTTCCATCCATCAAAAATTGTATTAATTGCTCTCTTATTTTTATCCCTTCTCATTCATCACTTCTAAGAAAGTCATAAACCATGATAATGAACACAAAGCAATCGTCACCCTTCTTTTTCTTTGGAATGATAGCGAAAGTTATTATAAGAGACACTGGCTTTTCGTGTTTTGGTATGAGTCCCATGTTAACCAACCTACATTTTAGGGTAGATGCCTAATTTTTATTTGAATGTCCGTCTGGTAGATTATTTAAAAACATTAGACACGTATTTTTTATTTTCTTACAGAAGCGAATACTTTCGACGATATATTGATTTGAAATGTCGCCTGACGTCACTTCTACGTACATTTTATACGTAGAAATGACGTTTTAGCTCCCACTCCTAAACTTTGATTCGTTTTATCTAAGTATTATTTTATTATACGACAAAATAAAAAATCACGTGTCTAATATTTTTTCATTGCCTAACTTACGGACTAATTAAATTTATTTTTAATAATATCAACTACAGCCACACCAAGTACAATTCTAGGCATCATGCTATTACTGAAAATTTTCCTAAACCAAAAATATGGTCTTATCCTAATTTGATAATTGACACTTGAGACTTCTCGGTAGTCGCATTTACATCGTTCTCGCACAATCCAAACAGCAAAACTATGTAACTAGTAAATTGTATTGTGAACCTGATTGAAAAAGAGTAACCTGTGGAGTTTCTTGCTCGTTCTTCTCCATAGGAATCTACACCTTGGAATGAGCAAATAGCTTCACTTTAATTTATTTTTTTTGTTGACGTTCAAAAGTGCCATTCTGGCCTAATTGAAATAAATGATTTTGACTTTGACATCGACATACTTACATTATTTTTGTTTGAAAGTGTTTAAAAAGAACTAATGAATATGATTCTTGTCCATTTGTTTAACTCGTGGTGTGTTGATTTAAATATAGTTTTCCTTGTCTATTTATAGCGCAGACGGTATATGTGTCTCGGGTGACACCCGCTGACTTGAGACTTGGAGTTCGATTACAATTACAAGTGGTAAAGAAATAATTAGTATTCATTTAACTTATCTTCTGTTTTTATCACGTGTAATTCAACAAATCCTTATTGTGTTTTTTTCATCTACTAGCTTCTGCCCGCGACTTCGTACGCGTAATCCCATTTTTTCCCGTCCCTGTTCGTGATTTTCGATAAAAAGTAAAAAAAAAAATTGGTTAAAAAAGTATCCTATGTCGTTCTCCTGGCTTTAAGCTACCTTCCTACCAATTTTCAGCCAAATCTATTCTGCCATTCTTGAGTTATAAGTGGTGTAACTAACACGACTCTCTTTTATATATATAGATTACGATTATCAAGCAAGCTGTATTGGGTCAGCAATTCAATGAGCTACAATGAGATCTTTGAAAAATAAACAAATATTACTGGACTTTCACTGATTTCCTAAAGTTGACTAGTAAACAAATTGCATAAAGTCCGCCTAAATACATGGTACAATATGTGTTTGACATCGGCGTGTCATCACTGTGATGGTGGTTTGGAGGATACGGCGCGGCACACGCTCGAAGAGTGTACTGCATGGGCAGAGCCGCGTCGTGAACTCTTTGCAGTACTCGGCGGGAGTAACCTGTCGCTGTCGACTGTGGTACGAGCTATGGTCGACAGCGAGAGCGCATGGGACGGAGTCGCTTCCTTCTGTGAACAAGTCATGTTGGAAAAGGAAGCGGCTGAAAGGGAGAGAGAGGCGTCAAGTTCTTCCCCTCTCGCCGTAGACGCGCCGGTCGTCAGCGCCGTGAAGCGGCAGCCGATCTGCGCCCTCCATGAGAGGAGAGGCCTGCGGGCGACTGACCGGGGGAGTCAGACGTTCGCTATATAGGCGGGAGTAGGCGGTAGCGTAGTGTTCCACGCGCGCTACTCGAAGAAGGGAAGCAGCCTCCTAGGGCCGCTAAAGTGGCGGGACCTGCCGCAAACATAGCGGTAGATTGAAGCCTGCCGGGTGTGGTGATTCCGTAAGGGCAACCCGGGTCACGGTCACAGGCAGTGAAGGAACACCGCGGTGGTTTTAGCCGGTAAGAGTCCGGCACGCCCCCTCGTCGTCCCCACGACGCGGGAAGTCCATGAGGATTTCCATCGCGATAGAAAAAAAAAATAAAATAAAAAAAATATGGTACAATATGTGTTTGGTACATACTTACACATGGTACATCATTATAAGTCCAATGCAACATAACATAACATCACGCCTTTTTATCCCCGAAGGGGTAGGCAGAGGTGCACATTTCGGCACTTAAGGCCACTGTACAATGTAACACCCACTTTTCACTATTTATGTTATGAGTCCCATGTAATAGTGGGTGAGCCTATTGCCATATACCGGGCACATTTTTCCAGACTCCGTGCTACTACTGAGATTTTTAAAAACCCAGTAATACTTTGCCCGACCCGGGAATCGAACCCGAGACCACTTGCCCGGCAGTCGCACTTGCGACCACTTGGCCAATGAGGCAGTCCAATGCAGTTTAACTAAATAAACAAAAGTCTAATTATTTCGCCTGAGATACGTTTTTTCTAAGCTCATCATCATCAACAGCCTATAAGTGGCCACTGCTGACCAAAAGCCTCCTCTCACACGGAGAAGATTTGAGTATTAATCACCACGCTTGCTCAATGTGAGTTGGCGATTTCAAACTTATAATTGAAAATTATAAGCCCAGGTTCCCTCTCGATGTTTTCATTGACCGTTTATCAGTGGTGTCTAACGTCCAGTTTCTTTAACCTATCTATCTGTACATTTGCTTACTAGAGATAGAATTTTGACACAAGATTTGCTTATTATAGATAGAATTTTGACATGACCTCCATACAAAATGTGTCAAAATTCTATCTCTAGTAAGCAAATCTACAGATAGATAGGTTATAAAAACTGGA